GGGGAGACACAGAATCTGAAGCAGGCTCCAGGCTCTGAGATGTCAGCACTGAGCCTGAAGTGGGGCTCGAACTCCTGACCTGAGCTGAAGTCAGACTCTTAACCGACTAAGTCACCCAGGTACCCCTATTATGCATATTTTAAAGCTGAAGAAAGTGAGACTCAGAGAATTTAATTAACTTGTCCAGGATCCCAAGCTTGTGGTTGATAAGGCTCAGCTATGAACTGAGGTCTCTCACGTGTAAGAAGACCTACCACACTCTACTCGTTGATTTGTTTTGGTCTGCCTCCCCCATCCGTCGCCTTGAATTGGGGGCCTTGGGTACCAGGAGCATGTCCTGTTCGGCTTATACCCCCCAGTTCTAAACACGGTACCTAGCACATGGTGGACGCTTCATGGGTGTTGGCTACATGAACACGTGAACAGACTATACCCTATGAGCAACAATGGGGCCACACAGTAACCCCCTTTTGTGGCCTGGCCAGTGGGCCCCCACTTTCATCATCCAAGTCTCCAAGATGGCCAAAGGACAACCCCTCACATTCTGTCTTTCAGGGACTTCGGCCAGCTGGCGGTGGAGCTCCTCGACCAGTCCTATAAGCAGGACGAACAGCTGGCCATGAAACTGCTGACGTATGAGCTCAAGAACTGGAGCAACGCCACCTGCCTGCAGCTTGCTGTGGCTGCCAAGCACCGCGACTTCATCGCACACACGTGCAGCCAGATGCTGCTCACCGACATGTGGATGGGCCGGCTGCGCATGCGCAAGAACTCGGGCCTCAAGGTCAGCGCGCCCAGAAGGCCCTGTTGGCTGTGAGGACCGGAGGGTTGGTTTGGAGCTTGCCGAGCTGGTGGAACTAGGCATTTTCTTATCTCAGGAGGGTGGTTTTAAGCCCCAACTGTGACTCAAAATCTTCTATATAGTTTTGTTTTGTTTTTTTCATACAGAGACTACAGCCTACCCCAAGTTCTGCTAAGTCAGAACCTCTGGAGATGGCATGCCTAAACATTAGTATTTTGCAAAAGATCCAAAGGGGATGGTCACACACAGGTACCATAAGAGGTACCATTTGCTCTGGCATAAGCCATGCTGCACCAGGAACCGCGTACCGGGCAACATTGCATGGCCGTGCAAACCTCAATGCCTTGGCCCTCCTTTGTACCTTGTCATAGACACCTTGGCTCCCCCCAGCTATGCTTGAGAAATGTTTTCACCTGAAATAAAAATGAGATGGGTTTATGTGTAAAGATGTTGCTAGATCATCTTGGTCTGTTCTTAACTGATGAAAAACACGTTGCAGACCAGTTATGTAGAGTCTGAGTCCATTTTAGGTTTCTCTTACCCTGTACATGCACAGTTATATCTGTATAAGTTTTCATTTTTTTTAAGAAACCAGGGAGGATACAGAGCCAAGTGTTTGTAGTGGTTACCTTGGGGGCTGAAGGTACAAGACATGGGATGATGTGTGGCTTTGCTTCTTCATGTTTTCCTCAGTGTTTTACAAGGAAGACATTTAATTGGAAGAAGCAAAAGAAAGAGAAAATGGGAGAGAAAAGACTGAAAGGAGTTTTCAAATGCTTTCTCTGTTTAGAGTTTGTGGCTGTTACAACTGAAGCCAGGCTCATATTTACCTGGGAAATTCCTGGTCTAGGCAACTCTGAGGTCAGCCCAAGGCAAAAAAGGCCAGAGCAATCGGCTAAGGCCACCCTGATGGAACCAGCACCCCTCCCCCATGCCATCCTCCCTGCAGGTTTTTGGCCCCAGAGTCTCAGAAGAGCTCCATGAAGTGGGTCATGGGCACCCTATAGCTGCACTACCAGTGACCGCCAAGCCTGGCTCTCAGATCCGAGGACAGGGTGTCATGTCCCCTCGAGACTGCCAGCATGCCACCTGAGCCTTCTCAGGCCTGCCAGTCACCCTGAGTTCAGGGTCACCACCCTCCGTTTTCCCTTAGTGGCTCCAGAGTCCTTGTGGGCATTCAAGCACAGGCCACCCCTGCCTCATTACTTGCGGGTCATTTTCACTCACTGTTCAGGATCTCCCTGAGCCCTCACTTTGGTGCAGTTTCTTCAAGGAGGTTCATATTCAGAAGACTTATAGAGCAGAACCAGTTTAGTGATTGGGCGAAGAGGCGGGAGAAGATCTGGGGAAGACAAATCACGTGTGGGATTATCATTCAAATGGAGAATGAGGGGCACTGGGTGGCTCAATCGGTTAAGCGTCCAACTTTGGCTCAGGTCATGATCTCACAGTTTGTGAGTTCGAGACCACATGGGGCTCTGTGCTGCCGGCTTAGAGCCTGGAGCCTGCTTCCAATTCTGTGTCTCCCTCTCTCTCTGCCCCTCCCCCACTCGCGCGCGCGCTCTCTCTCAAAAATAAATAAACGTTAAAAAAATGAAAAACAAATGGAGAATGAGATTGCCCTCTCGTGAGAAGGGTCCATGTATTTATTACCATCACATGGAGGCTGAAGCATATTGTTTATACATGATAGAAACACAGTGCTGGGCTTCCTGGAGTGTTTGTGTAGGGGATTCTCATGGTGAATACAAAGCCCACGTGTGTGTGTGTGTGTGTGTGTGTGTGTGTGTGTGTGTGTGTGTTTCTGTTGTGCAGTAGCAAGTGTCAGGGGAATACTCCGAAATGAAAACATGCTTTCCCACTTGGATTTTCTCAAGGTCAATTTAGGACAAGGAGATACCCAGATGACTCCACTTGATGTGTTAGCAAACACATGCCAGTGGACGTGCATTTGAATTGATTTCACAAAGCCAAGCGCTAATGGCTAAATGAAAGTCTGAATTCTTTCTCACTTTTTCCTTGAGCAGGGCCCCTCATTCTCCTCAGCTTCCCCCATGCAAAGTGGGTGTTAATTGGGTGGATTTGGGTAAGATGCTCCTCTTCTCCAAAAACTACTATGTGCTGTTATGCGCAGCTACTACTGTGCATAACAGTTCCCGGATGGGCACGAGTGACCCTCTGCGTGTTAACATGTGCAGGTGCCTCACTCAGGGCACACACGTGTGCCCACACGCACGTGTGCACTCACATACACACCCCACCACCCTAGGCCCTCTGATTCTAAGAAAAAAAAAAACCACCCTCATCTTAATCCTTTAAATGTGATTATTATTATTATCATTATTATTACTTTAGGTAATTCTGGGAATTCTACTTCCTCCTTCAATTCTCAGCTTGGAGTTCAAGAACAAAGACGACATGCCGTATATGTCTCAGGCCCAGGAAATCCACCTCCAAGAAAAGGAACCAGAAGAGCCAGAGAAGCCCACAAAGGAAAAAGATGAGGAGGATATGGAACTGACAGTAAGGAAAACTATCGCGTCCTTGTCCGCGGGCGGCAAGCCTACTCCACCTTTCCTGTTGATACAACTTAAGACTCAGTGACTCCCAAGGTCACCCTCCAACCAGGTGCTTTCATTTAAGTGTGAGACCAGAGTATTACAAAAGTGTCTTCTCTAGGCACAGATAACATAACAATAGGGACTATTTCTGTGCAAAATCCTTCAGCCAGGGTCACAGGACAACCCAGTGAAATCCAAAAGCCAGGCACCCCCAGTTGTCCAAACAAGCCACGCTTTATAAAGGAGCAGGTGCTGGGGCAGTCTTAGCATACGAAGAAGGCAAAGGAATGTATGTGGGGGCAGCCAGCCGAGCCACACTGGGCTGGAGCCCTTCTGGTGATCAGATGCTACGCCTTTATCTGTCTTCAGGGTCAGGCTCACACATGCAGGACTAATTGAATTTTGAGGTTTGTATGGAAGGCTTTTATTAGCTCTTCTGGTATAATTATAGAACATGGATGCTTTATTCTGCAGCGAGAAGGGGCAGCTGGGCATGGGACAGCTTCCTGCAACCCCCGCCTGAGCAGTGTGACCGCTACTGGATCGTGTCCAAAGTCTAAAAATGTCACATGCTGTTAAAGAGACAAACAGGGCTTCGGAGCTTTGGAGACATCGCGCGACAGCTCCATAGGACTTCCTTGATATCCCCCACCCTCCCCACCACCCTGAGCAATGACTGTGATGACTCAAAAAACCTGTAAGGAGAGAAAACCAGAATTGGTTTTGCTCAGGTGACAAAAGGCCCTTTCCATTAGTATACTAGTGGGAGCACCCTGTGAATTGTTTTTCCTCCAGATCAACAGTATTTCCTTCCAAAAGGAAACCATCCCAGCCCCGAGTACAGCAGGGTATAGGCATCTGGCCACTCTTTTGACTGACCAATTATTCACAGTTTTTGACTCACAGAGTTAAAAGCCAGTGTCGGTTTTCCATTTCAGGATTCTTATAAAAACCAGTGGAGGCGCCTGCTCGCCTCTGTGACAGGATCAGATGACTGTCTTCCCTAAAGATCTTACTATAATTTTCGCCTCTGAATCCTTCAAGGATAGAGAATGATATTTTAACCATTAACAGAAACAGTAGTACTAATAATACCAAATCTTTATTAGAGGGGTAAAGAGTGTTCATTCTGGAGCCAGAATCCTGCCCAAACACCTACTCACTGTGAGACCTCGGACACCATTTCTTAACCTCTAACATGGGAATGATAACATTGTCTCGCTCACGGGCAGTTTTGCAGTTTAAAAAGTGTACACGTCACTTCTGTAGACTGGGGCCTGGCATATTGTGAACCTTGATAAATGTTTGCGAATATTGTTAGGATGGCACTAAATGTTTGACGTGCGCGTACTCATGGAATCCTCACAAAAATCCCATGAGGTAGGTACTGTTATTATCCATTTTACAGGTGAGGAAGCTGAGACTCAGAGAAGTTAAACTGCCCAAGGTTACCTAGCTAATTAATTGCAAGGCCAGGATTAGAACCCAGACATAGAGATCCCATTGGCCATGCTTTTAGCCTATAGCCTCAGGGATGCAGAGAATTTCTTCTTAGTCTCAAATGTAGGCATTCACTTGGTTTGGTCTACCTCATAGCAGAAAGAATCCAAAAATAATGCACGGGCCTCCTACGTCAAGTATGACTTGGCCTTGAAGCCTCAAGGAAGGACCCTATGAAGACAGCCACAAGCTGAATCACAGTTCTCTCTGGGTGGGTCTCAAGGAAGAAAACAAAGAAGGCAGCTCCCTTCTGCTCCGTGTGGAGCTTTGAGAACCCGATCCTTCAAGAAATCACACTAAAGGATGCATCTCTCGACTGAGAGCAAAGTCTGCTTCCCAGAGAATAGACCCTGCTGTTGTTTACTGAGAACCTGAGGGAAAGACCTCACACTAGCTCTACTGCCTGGGCTTCTTCCCCACAGGCAGAAACAGCTAGAAGGAAAGGAAGAAGGGATTTTGTGGACTGGTAAAGTTAGGGCTGGATAGCAGATATCTTTAAGCTGGAGCCTCTTTTGACCCTAATGACAAATTCTGTCCCTGCTGGAGCACTGGTGTTCCTTACCCTGGAGAAGATTGGAGAATGCAGCGTGCTGACACCTCCACTCCTTTCATAGGAAAGATATTTGAAGTTCGGTGCTAAACCAATATATCCTTTCTTGGATGGGAGCATTTTCCCCTGGCCCCTCCAAAATTATGCACAAAATATGAGCTTCAATTTCATTATCAGTAGCCTTTAGTGGCCTAGTTGACTTCAATGGATCTTTCCCAGACTTGACATCTGTGTCCAGCCAGCAAAAATTCTCAAATCCATATTATGTAGTGTTGCCTGTATTTGACCCTATTACATTCTGCTTAAGGAATGTAGTCAAAGGAAATGTTTGACTACTGGGAAGAGAAATCAAGAAAATCAGTCAGTTAAGCTGCTTAGGCTGGAATTAATGAAATTTCGAAAATGCTTTACTTAAACCCACAAAAGAAAAGCTTTTAAAAAATGCATTCACTTGGGAACGTATCTGAATAATGAAAGCAAGATAGGCCGTGTTGTTTTTGTTTTTTTTCACCTGCATTGCCAGATACATGTTTTTGCACTCTGCCTAATAAAGCTCCAACATGTCCAGAGACCCAGGGCATTGTCTCAACTCTGTTGAGGAAGCCACTCTTTCTAGCGTTTACCCCAAGATGTCACTGTCCAAGATGCCTACAACTCCCGAAGCTGCCTTTACTAACATCCCATTATGTCCCCAAATTGTATTGTATTACTGAGCAAATAAAGAAGCAGAACAGAAGCAGGGTAATTATGTTACATAAATTATAAATTATAGAAGGATGTAGCTCAGAGTTTCTTGAGATCAGTGGTCAATATTGATAGAAGTCAAACGTGCCATATCCATCATGGAGATTGACCCAGCTCACTGATCAAAATAAAGGCTTGGATAGGCCATCGAATGGGATCTTACCTATTCATTAAGTCAAGGTAATTTCCTAGCCATAGAGGCTTTAAAGGAATGGAAGTTGCCTTGTTACCTTCTCCAGAAATCCTATTGGTTACAGGTTCATCATTTGCGATTGTTACATATTTAAGAAGGTGGATAGTTGAGGCAATGACAAAAGTAGTTGGAACTATTTGTATATCTTGAGTAAGGTGGTTTGAAACCAGAATTATCTGCTCTCAAATTCAAGATAAACAAATGGTTTCTATAATTAGATCTCTCAACTCTAAAACTGTATCCCACTCCTTTTTCCTATCCTAAATCCTTGTCAGTCACTGAGTAGTTAGAAGGATTTGCCCTGTTCTTACACTTAATAAAAATCTCATTTCCAAAACATGGTAGAACTAGCCTTGTCTTAGAATAATACCAAAACAATTAAAGTCAAGAAATTATGCTATAATAGAGCCCTAATAACACTTTTCTTTTTCCTGGCGAGAAATTCCCAACCAGATTATTTTCGTCAAGACTATCCAAGAAAAGTCTCAGTTCATTGTAACTAAACACTAGCTAGTATACACAGAGCACTTATTAAGTGCCAAATGCTTATTTATTTGTAGACCAATCCTATAGCAGGTGCCATTATTACCTCCAATTTAAAGATAAAGAAACTAAGATTCAGAGCGGTTAAAAGATTTACCCCGGGTGCCATGGATTCTGAGCATCCAAGAGAGGATTCGGTCCTCCTTCTGAATGACTCAAAGTCTGGAACTCTTCACCAGTAGGATCTTCAGCCATATTTGACTCATCCTGCCACTTCCTACCCAGACAGGCATGCATCTGCCTTTTCTCAAAGTCTGCCTTTTTTGTGATGTTTTATTGTCATTTTTGCCACTGCTGTTGACATGGGTGAGAAGGAAATAATTCGATTCGTAAGGAAACTTCCAACAGCTTGGAGATGAGGCCTCTCCAGGTCAGGCCTGACTTCTAGTCCCACCCAGCAGAATCTCCCATGCAGAGGAAGGCATTGTGCTTAGAGGTCGCCATGAAACTAATCCCAGCAGTAATTTGGGTTTTATGAAGTTTGAGATCAGGGAACCAAGGTTTATGCCTAAGGGTTGAGGAGAGGTTTCTAACCTAACTAAGCTCCAGGCACTTCAGATAACCTCTCTAATACTCGTAACCTTTGGGTAAGTTAGATATTACTGGTCCAGTGTGTTTGTTTGTTTATTTGTTTGTTTTTACTTAAGAGTCATTAGCATGAGTAGATAGAATTCAAACCCAAATCTGCCTGTCTCACTACTATGGGGAGGGGGTGGAAAGAAAAGAGATTCCTGGCCTTCCGAGGCTATGCTCTTTCTCCTCTCAGAACTCTGGTATCTTCCATTATGGAATCTTCCAGAGCTCCCATGGCAGAAGAGAAGATAATGGTAACAGATATCCCTAAGACCTTCCATCCCAGGCACATACCTTTGATTCTATATATGACGCAAATGCACACCTAGGGAAGGCACAACCTGTGAATCTCTGGGGACCTTGGATAAAACCCTTAGGTTCTGTGAGCATGCATTCCTGATGTGTAAAATGAGCACATTGAATCGCATGCTCTCCAGAGCCCTGCAATGATGGTGTCGATTCTCTTCCACTGTAGGCGATGCTGGGACGAAACAATGGGGAGTCTTCCAGAAAGAAGGATGAAGAGGAAGTTCAGAGCAGACACCGGTTAATCCCCCTGGGCAGAAAAATCTATGAATTCTACAATGCACCCATTGTGAAGTTCTGGTTCTACACTGTAAGCATCTTCCTTTTTCTTCTTCCTAATGGGTGACCACAAAGAGCCAATGTCAATTTCACCTGCACCCTTGTGGTTTCCTCTGTGAGTCATAATATAAGGATCACACAGGCAGGGATGAAAGCTTTTCCCAAGAGTTCTGTAAGACGTGTGGAGTTTGTGAGGCGGCTTCTACAGCTTCTGCATTTCTCCTCCTTGCAGAAAATAAAGGAAATGGTAAAAGTGAGAACTAACAGAAATAGAGGTGGGACGAGTATGAGTCTGGCAAAAAAATAGATGTCATTTTATAAAACACTCGTGTGTTCTGGATGGATGAGCGCTGGATCGGAGTTGCCCATTTTAGATGCCAATCCTGGGGGTAGGGAACACTTGAAGGGTAAGGGCTGAGCAGAGTTTTCAAAGTAACGCCACTAAAGGTGGGTAGCCTAAGTGTGTAACTACTCCCAATCTGCTAGTGTCATCAAACAGCCTTTCTTGTTCAGACATGATGAAACAACATGCCAACCAAAGCAGCAAAAACTACTCGAAGTAACTACAGTCACAGTGGAGATTGTTCCGTGCGCACCCTGCAAATATTTTGTCTTCACAGGATGAAATCTTGTCCCTGAAATAGCCTCTTGATATGATAGAAATGGCTAGACTCTTGGTTTCCTACTTCTGTTTTTCATGAAGGTGAGCTTCCCCCAGGTCATCTCTGGTTCTCTCCAGTCACAGTGGCGCTGTGCCAGATGAGGGACAGGTGTCTGTATTTTTGGCCTTTCTCACAACCAGCTACCCACCAGGCACCTTAGTCAGCAAAGGAAAATCCTAGTCTGAGGCCAAGATGACTCAAATGACCAGATGAGGTGTTTCTGTGCATGCGTGTGGTCCCATATGCCAACACTTAACGCTGCCTTTCAGTGAGGCTTTCTGAGCCTCAGCACTGTTCACATGGGGCGCAGAAAAATTCTTTGCTTAGGAGGACTGTCCTGTGTACTGTACCATGTCCAGCAGCACCCCTGGCCTCAGTTCACTAGATGCCAGGAGCACTCTCCAGCCCCCACGTATGACAACCACAATGTCTCTGGACATTGCCAAATGTCCCTTTATGGACTTACTTTGCTACCAGGTGAAAACTACTGTTGTAAACTATGGTCTTAAAAGAAGATATAATTGAAGTATAAATATTAGATTTTTTTAGTGCAGTAAAAATTCAGGTTTGTGAATACTAAAAATAGAAAATAATTCTCCCCCGAAAAAATTAAGACGTGCAAAAATAATTTCCATTTATATATTTTATGCAGATATTAAATTTACCTTGCAGGAAACAACTTAGTGGGTGACAAGCATGGACTTTGGGGTAAGACAGGCTGAGCAGAGATCCTGTCTGGGCCCCTTAGTATTACTGTGTGACCTCAAACAAGTTACTTTAGCACTCTGTGCCAAGATTCCTTAAGATGGGGATAATAATAGTACCTACTTTGTAGGGTTTAGTAAAGATTAAATGTGTTAAAATATGTAAAGCACTTAGAACAGTGCTTGGAACGTGTAAGCACAATATAAATGTAACTGTTTTTATTCCTAGGCTAGTCACATTGCATGGCAATAGTCCGTGTTTTTATTCATCCATCCACCCAATAGTGATGATATCATTTTTTGAACACCTACTGTGAGGCACTGTTATAAATTCTTTACATATATTTTCCCTAATTTAATAGTTTTATCAAGGTAATAATTTTACCAAAAAAAAAAAAAAGATAATTTTACTACATTTTACACCCACTTCTGTCCTTCCTTTTATACCAGGATGCCTCAATTACCCCAGCCTAGAACAGGGCTTGGCAAACTATATTCCCACAGGCCAAATCAAGTCCCAGATCCAGGCCTATTATTGTGGACTGTGAGCTAAGAATGGTTTTTACATTTTTAAAATTGAAATAAAATCAAAGGAAGAATACTTCATCATACATGAAAATTATATGAAACTCACACTTCAGTGTCCATAAATCAAGTTTTATTGGAACACAACCAAACTCATTCGTTTACCAATAATCTGACTGCTTTTGTACTAACAACTGTTGAGTCAATTACTTGCTATAGAAAGACTGTCAGGCTCTGAAAGCCTTAAAAATGAACTCTGTGGTCCTTTACAGAAGAAATTTGCTAACTCCTTATCTAGAGCATAAAAGAACTAATAGAAATAATAGTATAAAGAATTGCCTATCACCTTTACAAATACGAGACTCATTTGTCCTATCTTTCTAAGACATCTCTCTCTTCTCTTTTCTTGATCATTGTTCAGCATTAACATTATTTCCTTGATTCCCTTAGTCCCCATTTATTCAGCTGTGACAATTTGTTGGCCAAGATGCTTTTAAGTCACAAATGTCTTGGACAGTGGTTTTCAGTCTTGACTACACATTGGGATCGCCTGGAGCTCTTTAAAAAACAACACCACCTGGGTTCTATGTAATCCACCTATTTATCTATTAAAAAAATTTTTTTTAAGGTACCTGGGTTCTCTATTCTCAGAGATTCTGACATCATTGGTCTGGGCACAACCAAAGCTTCACGCTATTTCAAAGGACCCAGGTGGTTGTAATGAGTAGCCAGGGTTAAGAACCACTGCCCCAGACAGAAGGCCCAGTATTTTTTTCCAAAACTTCTTTGATGATAAAGAATTTTGTTAGAAATGCACATCGTGGCCCTATCACAGACCCATGAAATCTAATCTCCAAGGAGTTGCTGAAGAGGCTATATGTTTAACAAGCTCCCCAAGTGAGTCTTATAGTCCAGGAAGCTTGGGACACACTGCTCTCCTCGTATCAGATGCCTCCGAGAGGTGGAGCCTGTGTGTCTGGCTCCCTTCTGCACGGCTGACGGTAGACTCAGCAAACCCATTGGACTGGACACCCCAGTCATGTTGTTAGTGTTTACATAATGACTTCCAGAAATCCATAGCTGTGTGTTTACAAAGCCTAGGCCTCGAGGAAGTGCATGGAGATGAGGAATGCCAGATTTTTAAGTCTCCTCCCCAGAGATGCTTAACAGTAAAATTCGCTTTAGATCAAACCTCCCATTTGCTTTCGGATGTGTTCCTTCCTATAAGAGTATTTCCCACTCTGGTTTCCAAAAATATCTCCTTCTGTGTACACTCCCAAGTTTCTGAAAGAGGGAACACACCTCATTTCCACATAAGTTCACTTCCATATCTTAGCAAGTTTCCAGAAGGCCAGGTTGGGTCCTCTTCTGTTCCAAGAAGAAAGGAGGCAGGGATCCAGCTGGCTCCCAGATCTGGTCTGTGATGAGAGTCATTTCAAGTGCCCAGCTGGAAAGGATGCCGTTGCAAGTTATAAAAGAGGAACCAAGTCAGAGGGCAAGGGATATGCTCTGGGCTTCTCCAGCATGGACAGACTCCTGCCTCTGTTTGAACACCACTGTGCCCCCCACCCCTCCAGGGGCAGGAGGAGAAAGCTCACCAGGGATCCACACAACCTGAAGAAAGCTCTGGTGCTTTCATTGCATAGTTTGGGAGTTGAGCATCTTGGTTAATGGAAAATGTATAAAAAAAATATATGAGCAAATAAAATGCAAATCCTTAGAGGATGCCTACTGACTTAAATAAGCATCATGAGGTTATGTTTCTGTTCAAAGTTTTGACATTCTACACACAACTTGTTAAAGCTTACAGAATATATGTGTGTAGACACACACAATTTTAAAGCATGTCATGTTAAGGTAATCTGTAGCTAGACCCCATGAATGTTGGTGAGTTCTAAGATAGGTTGCTTCTCAGACAGCAGACAGTCCTCTGTTGTGCCATTTAAACATGTTTAAAGTCATATTTTTGGAAGTCTATATTTTGAGAGTTGTCCCAAAATGTTATATTATAGCTTGAACATGGAAAGAAACGCATTATAGAGTAACTGGATTTAAAGAAGAGGCTGAGGGGCATTTGAGTGGCTCAAGGGGCTGAGGGTCCAACTCGTGATAGCAGCTCAGGTCATGATCCCAAGGTTGTGAGATCAAGCCCTGCGTCGAGCTCCGTGCTGGGCCTGGAGCCTGCTTCAGATTCTCTTTCTCTCCCTCTGTCCTTCCCCCACTCACTGGCTCTGTCAAAAAAAAATAATAATAACAAATAACAGGCTGATCGTGGAAGAAGCATAAGCAGTAAGGAGGGCAATTTAAAAAAGGAGAGGTATTGGGGCGCCTGGGTGGCACAGTCGGTTAAGCGTCCGACTTCAGCCAGGTCACGATCTCGCGGTCCGTGAGTTCGAGCCCCGCGTCGGGCTCTGGGCTGATGGCTCAGAGCCTGGAGCCTGTTTCCGATTCTGTGTCTCCCTCTCTCTCTGCCCCTCCCCCGTTCATGCTCTGTCTCTCTCTGTCCCAAAAATAAATAAATGTTGAAAAAAAAAATTTTTTTTTAAAAAATAAATAAAAAAGGAGAGGTATGGCTAGTTAACCAGATCAAAAGGAAACAAGTACTGAGGTAAGAGGAGATGAGGAATGGAAGTTGCTTGAAAAAAGAAGCAAATAATTATTTTAGCCACCATTCATTTGGCCTCTACAACTGTTAGGAACTAGATACAGGGGCGCCTGGGTGGCTCAGTCAGTTAAGCGTCTGACTCCGGCTCAGGTGGTGAACTCACGGTTCATGAGTTCGAGCCCTGCATCGGGCTGTCTCCTGTCAGCACAGAGCCCACTTCAGATCCTCTGTCTCCCTCTCTCTCTGCCCCTCCCCCACCTCTCTCTCAAAAATAAATAAACATTTTTTAAAAAGGGAGATAGATATGTATTCTCCAACCCCCCCCCCCCCCCCCCCCCATCCTTCCAAAAGCTCTGTAAGGTCAGTAGCCCTCGTCTCCATTTCACAGGATGGAGGCCCAGGCAGGTGCATTGATGTACACAAAATGATACAGCTTGGAAATACTCGAGCTAGGATTTAAATCCAAGTTTCCCTGACTGCATCTACATTCCTTCAGCCAAACCAATACACTAAACCTGTATTCGGAGGACAGAGGCAGGTTGGAAGAGATGCTTAAATACTAAAATGCAGAGGTTCTGGAAGAATTGTGTGGGTGTCACTGGGCCTGCGTGTGACAAGAGAAGATAGTTCTTTGGAATGTGTCACAATGAATTGGGTGAAATAATAAAAACCAGGGCAGTTAGAGAGACTCATTTCCCCTAGAAGCAATAAATATGATCCAACAAACAAAAGGAAGCAATCAGAAAGAAGGATTTCAGGCCAGAAGGAGGCTGAGAATATGTTTTAGAGTTTCGCTATTGAAGTCTGCTGTGTCTTGTGAAATACAGTACTCGTGGGGACCGAGAGTGGATGCCCGTGTATAACGGTAAACAGGAACCATATGAACCAAATTGCATTTTAAACAGTATCCCACGTAATTTCAAGTAGAGCAGATGCCTCAGGTGAGGTTTCCACACTGTGCTAACAGCCCCAGAGGGAAGGAGTGGGGGCCGAGGTGTGGATTAAAGTGACAGTCCGTGAGGGGCACCTGGGTGTCTCCGTCAATTAAGTGTCTGACTTCGGCTCAGGTCATGATCTCCAGGCTCGTGAGTCTGAGCCCGCGTCGGGCTCTGTGTGGACAGCTCAGAGCCTGGAACCTCCTTTGGATTCTGTGTCTCCCTCTCTCTGCTCCTCCCCCACTCACACCTTGTCTCTCTCTCAAAAAAAAAAAAAAAAAAAAAAAAAAAAGTTAAAATTTTGTTAAGTGACAATCCCTGAAGGGGTGAGTAGACAAGAGCGCATCCCTGAGGTGTCAGGTGGAGAAGGAACAGCCTCTCCACAGCTGCCCTCATGCTTCCGCTCCTGACCTCACTGAACTCTGACATATGTTCACCATGCAAGAGACCAGAAATTATATGGTTGTGTCTGTAAATGCGTCATCATAGGGGCTTTAAAAATACCTTTGACTCCTATTCAGAATCTATGTATCCATTTTATTAAAAAAGGAAAGGAAGGAAGAAAGACAGCGAGCGGCCCCATTAGCAGAGAAAGGAACGTTTCTCGAGCTCTGTGGGGCCGCCAGTTCCCCTTTCTGTCTCGCAGTCAGGCTGTACCTTTCCCCACCTGCTAAGGTGCCTGCAGGGCTCCAGAGTCACACTGTATCTCCAAGGCCTCCACCCTTTTGCCCACACTGTGTCCTATTCTTTGCTCTGTGGGCTCTGAAGAGTGCAGACAGGAATAAACCCGCTCTCACTTCCTGCTCACAGCCCCCGGGGCCCCGAAAGCCAGCGAGCGCCTTACTCAGCTTGAAGCGTTGCCTAGAGAAGGTTGAGCTCCTATGCCATTTCCCCGAGGGGGAGTTTTTCTCCAGAGGTTCCGCGGGCCCTGACACAAGAACCCCACCAGCCCTCCTACACTCCACGCACTCATCTAGACATAACCTAGTCCTCCAGTGACAGTCACTAAACCTGAGCCCCCAGGGGTTTTCAGCGGACACCCAGCACCTCAGCCAGTGCTATCGGGATTCAGCCTCTGGGGCCAGAGCCCCATGAGGCTTAGGCCCCCCTCCAAGCCATAGTTGGCTACAGGGACCCATTCCTTTCTATAAATTGTTTTATCTTCTCTTGTTTTCTTTCAAAGAAGCAGAAACCAGGGAGGAATATCCCAACTTGGATAGGGTGGGGAGGTGTTGCAATAGAAAATGGATAAAATCCTCCCAGGGCACTGCTAAGCCAAGCACATTAAGGTAGGAGGAGAAAAAAGAAGACATTAACTCAGAAAACAATTCAAGTGGGACTTCAAGATAAAATCCAGTCTATTTTTATGTTGGTTTGACCAGTTTACAAGTATAGTATGTGCCTTCCTTTCCTTCCTGCAGACATTTCACCTACCTGGCATTCATTAGGCACAAATCCACCGTGTGCCCTAGTTCAAGAACCTGAGGCTCCAGGCGCCTGGGTGGCTCAGTCGGTTGAGTGTCTGACACTTGATTTCAGCTCAGGTTGTGATTTCACAGTCCTCGGATCCAGCCCCACCTCTTTGGGATTCTCTCTCTCCTTCTGTCTCTGCCCATCCCCTACTCATTTTCTCTCTCTCTCCCAAAATAAAGAAATAAACTTAAAAAGAAAAAAAAAAAAAGAACCTGAGGCTTATGCATGAACAAGAGTAGCACTGAGAGAAGAGGTCCCCTTTTTAGCCAGAAAGACACAAGAAACGGTAATAGCCAAACAAAAAGGATGCATCATGGCACAGAAGTAAAGGCAAAGTACTGGACCCAGGGACACATGTAAGGGACAAAAGGAAGATAGCACATCACATTATTTCAAATATTATAGTCATTTTCTTAAATTCTTTGAATAGTTTAAAGCCTTGAAGTTCATTCTGTTGTGAATTCTGAGTCCTGCTTGCTGACCTTGCTCTGTTCTGCCATGCAGCGGCCTTGCCCAAGGGCCGGGCTCCCGGGTCTCCATAGCCAGAACACTGTATTGTGTTTCCTTACAGCTGGCGTACATCGGATACTTGATGCTCTTCAACTATATCGTGTTAGTGAAGATGGAGCGCTGGCCTTCCACGCAGGAATGGATTGTCATTTCGTACATATTCACCCTGGGGATAGAGAAGATGAGAGAGGTAACTGCTTTCGTAAAGGAGAACATAGGAGAAAAACAGTGGTCGGTTACCTTTGTGAGTGGAAGGGAGGGGCGATGCTAGGGATCCAAATTAAGCCAGAAACCGTTTTCTCTATGCTGCACAGAAATAATGGACTCGGCCTCGAGGGCCGGTGGCAAACCTGGGGAGGCGTCATAGTGTGTGTTTTATAGGGTCATCACTTCACGCCTGCTCGGGGTTTGCTCTAGCTTTTGCCAACAGATCTCTTTCCCAAGAAGAGTTGTCTTCGACACTTTACACGTCTCTTTCCTCGACCCTATAAACAAGAGTTTTCAAATTTTCCCATTTTTCCACTTTTAACTCCCATTGCAACCCCTTACTCTGGGTCTCTTTGGCACTATCATCCAATACCTATGATTCTCCAAATGCATTTCAGCAGCTGTAGAAGGAACTACGCTTCCATTCATTAATTTATCCTCCACTTTATTCCTTCTCAACATTTATTATGCATGTGCTGAGCACCAGCCTCTCCACCAACCCTAGGAATCACTGAGGTGGGCTGAATATATTTCTTGTCCTTCGGGTTGGGGGTGTGGGCCCCTCTCTACGCCCCACATCCCCACCTTGTTAACCCCACCCCCCCATATGACTTGCTTGAAGTTCAAAGCCAGAGTCAGGGGCCTTCCCAGTCTGAGCTGCTAAAATGAATGTGGTCAAGCGAACGTCCACCAGAGGGCTCTGCAACTCTGCTCAACGCGCTCCACCAACCCATTCCCTACGCTGTAGGGAAGGCACGCTTGTGTGATGATTCTTCTGCATTTCCCCCTGGAACTACAGTCATCAGGGCAGGTCTTTTCTGGAAGAATTACTCTCTGTCAAGTCCACTGCACCTTCAAGAGCTCTCGAACAATCCTACTCCCAAAGCTACAGTGAGTGAGAAAATACATCGGGATCCATACAAAAATGGATTCCTACAAATCCACAAATTCACCCTTGCCTTCATTACCAACAGGTTAAAATACCCTTAGTCTCTTAGGTTTTAGTTCTCTTTCAGAGAAAAGGATGCAGTATCTATTAGATGCCGTCATACTGGGATCATTTAAAAAAATCTCTTAAAATACATTCAGAGCCCTTCTTTGGGGTTTTTAAACTGCTTCGGGGACACTTAAATTCTAATCAGCATGTCCCCATGCTGAGAGTTTGGAGGTGTGCACTAGTCCCTTTTTATAAAAAGCTGGATATTCTTTTTAATGGATGCCCTGCCTGGCCTTGTTCTAACTAGTTGTGTACTGTTCGGCCTCCCCATTCACAATGCCTTCTACTTCCTGAGCACGGCTGTGATTTCCCATTGGTAAACTGAAAAAGCTGTAATAAATTTGCAGTGCTCTTTGTGTAGCGCTCTGACAACGGAGGCCTGCTACCGCTAAGGGCTCTGGTGCTGTTCAGTGCTAGCTCCTCTCCTGTGATTTAACGCCCAGATGCATATTACTTCCCCATGATAAGCAGAAAAGGGAAAGACTCGCGCAGGGAGACTGGAATCCCTCCAGGGACGAGGCTGGAAGAAGACAGGGAGCAGCCTGTACTCCGTGGACTGTTCTGGAAGAGGCTGCCAAGCAGGCGGGCTGCCAGGAACCTCCCGGCCTGGATATCCATTTCTCCTGAGGCGGCATGTAACAGTGGCCCGGGCTCTGCAGGGTCGGGTCAGCAGGGGGTCATCCCAGGAGTCCTGGCTCCGGAGGAGGCCGCGCGGGGAGGCCCCCACCGCCTTCGTGGGCGATCTTTTCCTTGTCAGCCTGGCTTGGCCGCACCCCACACCCCCACCCCAGGTCCCGGACCCGCTGAGGAAGCTCAACCGCCCAGAGGCTGCGGACCCCACAGGTCCCGCCTCCGCGTCGGCGCAGGGCGCAGGCACGCAAGATCCCGGACACGTGGCAATCTCCGTAGGCTTCCTGGCCTTCAGGGATATACGAGCGGGGCTTTGTGGTTTCACAGGCGGCCCTCCCATTCCCAGCACCACATACTTCCGCGCGCAGTCACCAAAACAAGCCGCGGGGATCCCTCAAGCGACCGGAACTGTTTACACCGTGCGTGGGCGGACGTTCTCCCGCCCGGACCCTCCTCCCGGCAACCCCGCGAGGGCCAGACCTGGCCGCGGCGCGAGGGCACGCCCACTCCTGCGGTCGCGCCCACTCTGCGGCCACGCCCCCTCAGAGCAGAGGGTCGCGGCTGGCCCAGAGCCGGTGGGAGAAGCTTTAGGGCCCGGGTACCTGCGTTCCTGCTTCACCCTAGCCTCTCAGCCTTTGACCTCCCCCCCCTTTTTTTTCTTATGTTGGGATTTCACAGAAATATTTCCACAGTTTAGAAACTGATGCTATCAATCTCTGTTGACCAGTTGTAGGAAAGTGGACGCAGGGGTAGAAAAACTCCAAGGCATTTCCCCTCCGCCCCCCTGCCCACACGCAGGGAGTTTTCCCTAGCTGAGACGCAGCGGTGTGAGAAACCGCCAGGACGACGTCAGCTGCAGGAGTCCCTGACGGGGAGGACAGTGCTTCTCTCAACCTGTGGACCCCAGCTTGCCCTGAGAACTTGTTAGGAATGTAAACTCTCCAGCCTCACAGCAGGCATTACTGGAGCAGAAACTCCAGGCGTAGGGCGCGGCCATCGTGTTTTCACCAGCCCCTAGGTGATTCTGATGCCCGCTCAAGAAACCCTGGCTTGGGGTTTAGGGGTGAGTGTAGCCCTACAGAGGAGGAAGAATGAGGCTACCAGCTGGCTCTGGCATCTCGCACAGCATTCCAAGCCCTCGTCCTGACTTACTAAGACCTCCCTTCCTTAAGTATTTCAGGTCACGGCAAACCATTAAAGGGGACAAGAGGATGCAAATAAACAGCTGCAGATTAGACCCTGTCCCCTGTCTTTGCTTTCCTCTCTTTTGAGAGGAGATTCCGAGTTGGGTGATGGCTCAAAGAGATTGAAGTCTCCGGGTAAACCCAAAGGCCCAGCTACGCAGCCTCTATAGGCCAGCCTCCCTGGCTCCTCACATCCGGGGACAAGCTGTGGTGTCGGACCAGTGGGACCCACTCTCCAACTATGCGTTTCATAGAGCCTCTGTGTGGCAGCAAAAAGGCCCCTCTAGATTTGAGGTAAGTCAGAGCCCTACCCAGTACCTAATGATATGTAGCAGTCAGTCAACAAACATTTAATTGAGAATCTGTTATGTAACAGGCCCTGGGGCCCAAAGGGTGTGCCTCAGAGTTTACAGTCTAGTAGAGATGATAGGTGGGTAGACCAACACAGACAACATGTTTACCTGCATACAGAAGTTAACTTCATAGAGTGACAAACTCTTCAAAACCGAAGATAGGGTAATACATTAGCAAGTGACAGGGATGTGGAGGCCCCTGCAGGTAGGATAGTCAAGGAAGATCTTCCTAAGAAAGGGAAATTAGAGCAGAGACCTTGAGGATGAGGAGGAGCAAAACATGTAAAATTCTGGGAGAAGAAAATGCCCACCAGAAGGAACAAGTGCAAATGTCCCGAGCATATAATGAGCCGCTATGTCCGTAGGTGTGGAATGGGGGGAATGTGGTGGGCTGTGAAATGAAGCCACCGTAAGGAGTTTGGGTCTTTCTCTGTGTGTATTGGAAGCCATCGGGAGATTGAAATATTCATTTATCACAATTTGCTTTAGTTTTTGTTGTTGTTGTTGTTGTTGTTGTTCATACATCTCTCAAATCGCTCTCTTTTTTAGATTGTGGTATAATTTACCTGGAAGAAAATAAACAACTCATAGGAAAATAATAAACTCATTCTTATTTATAAGAAAATAAACTCATTCTGTTTACCCATACAACTGTGTGTAATCACCACCCAGATCACGGCTTCAGTTTTTAAAGATCATTCTGTGTGCTAGTTAGAGAATGGGTTGAGGGAGAGTAGACACCGATGGTGGCAGGAATACCAGTCAGAAGGCTGTTGCAATCATCTAGGTGATGTGGTAGGACTGAGAGTACAATGGCAACAGCGGGTGGTGGTGAGCAGTGGTTGGATCAGATTGTATTTAGAAATAGAGGTGATATTGATGCAGATTATATGGATGCGATGAGAAGAATGAAGGAGTCCTCCCTGGTGGTCTGAGTAACTCAATATGGTGGCACTCTTTACTGAGATGGAGTGGAATTTCAGATATTTGCAGTGTATCAGGAATCTGTCATTTCAGAGCAAAACCCTAATGGGTATCTTAGGATAGTAAGGCAACCCAAAGGATCAAACTTCTTGCTTCTGTTTGCCTCTGGAATGCTTGTATCTTCCTGGTCTGAGCTTAGCTCGGTGGTATATTCATAGCATGCAAATATTCAAGTAAACACAGGTAAACAAAACAAGCTACTGATGTCAACTAACAGACCAAGCGTTTTCCAACTGGACCTAAAATGTGGACTGAAACCAGACCTAACCCCGCCCTCTTTTCCTGTCTTTTAGATCCTGATGTCAGAGCCAGGGAAGTTGCTACAGAAAGTAAAGGTGTGGCTGCAGGAGTACTGGAATGTCACAGACCTAATAGCCATCCTTTTGTTCTCTGTGGGAATGATCCTTCGTCTCCAAGACCAGCCCTTCAGGAGTGATGGGAGGGTCATCTATTGTGTGAACATCATTTATTGGTACATCCGTCTACTAGACATCTTCGGCGTGAACAAGTATTTGGGCCCATACGTAATGATGATTGGAAAAATGGTAAGCAGGATTCTCTGATTCTGTGTTATAAATATGCAGAGGAGAAGTGGCAGTAATAGGAAGAGGAAAATCATTCATTTGGGCCTGCTGTGATGGTCTGAGATGGCCCTGGGGGTGTTTTGATTTTTAATTCCTTTTGAGCGTTTGGGAGTTTGACTACATCTGTATACATCACTGGAAAATTAACGATCACTCACCCATTTACTTACTGAAAAACATACACAGATCAGCTCTTTTGGGCTAAGCACCGGAGTAGGAGTTGGGTATTTAAAGGTGCTCATTCCGTGAGACTGAAGATGAGAAAGAAGCAATTACCATACAGTGTGCGAATGCTGTTAGAGAGATGTGTATAAAGGAGCATAAAAAAGACAATGTAGGTCAGGGACGGCTTCGTGTGGAGGTTACATTTTAGCTGGATCTTGGAGGAAGAGTGGGTCTCCACTCCAAATCTTTAAAAGATTTTTAAATTTTAACGTTTCTTCTTCTTTTTTTTTTTCCTAAAAAGTCCTTGAAAAATTCCTTTCCCTACACAAAGGGAAGGAAGTACAGTCTATTTTAGTTGAGTTAGGTTGAATTTTATTTGGATATTACGTTCTATCCATATATCATGTATTTTGTTACACTACTGGAAAATGGAGAGTTAAAAACTGGGTTCCAGAATGATGCCCCTACCTATTCTTTAAAAAAGAATCCCAGAGGGCGTCTGGGTGGCTCAGTCAGTTAAGCGTCTGACTTTGGCTCAGGTCATGATATGGTTCATGTGTTCAAGCCCCGCATCAGGCTCAGTGCTGACAGCTCGAAGCTGGGAGCTTGCTTCGGATTCTGTGTCTCCCTCTCTCTCTGCCCCTCCCCCACTTGTGCTCTCTCTTTCTCAAAAATGAATAAACATTTAAAAAAAAAACTTAAAAAATTTAAAAAAAAAGAATCCCAAGTGGCAAACTAATATGCTTTCCCACAAATGGCTGTGGACTTGTTCCTTGACCACCCTGGTTTCCGGACTCTCTCTGTAAAGACTCAGCCCTAGGAGGACAGCAGTAGTGTGAACCCTAGGAGTGCACAAATATATCAGCTCCTGCTCCAGACTCACTAGAAGAAGAATTAGAGCCCTCTGCTCAGAACCTAGGTGCTTCTTATCAATTACCCCACTTTTCAAAGTGTGACCCTTACTTCACCTTCACAGGGCATATGTGGAAAAGCCAAATACCTCCATCCTACCATGGTAAACGCCTCTTCCTGAAAAACTCTGTTCTAATAACCTCCAGTCTACTTCCACTTGTGGGCTGTCAAAAACTAACAATTGGTCAATAGCTGTCCTTTATCATCCTCCCTCAAGTTTCACTATATACATCATCACAGCTGACCTTTCAGTCAGCAGATCTGTGTTTATCATTATTATTAGTGTGTGGGTGCACGTGTCACTCTACTGAAACGAATCTTAAATAACCAAGACTCTTCCTACAAAAGCGCTGAGAAACACATGTAAAGGGAAGGAGAATTTGAATCCAAAAGGTAGGAGTTATGAGACCTTGAGAAATGTATTTAACCTCCTTAAGACCCAGTTTACTCATTTAAAGTAATTATAATAAATGCAAGGTTATATCTTGCAGGGCTTTTGTGATGATTAGAAATAACACATGCCAAGTAGCTGATAGGGTCTGGCTCATAGCAGGTAGTTGATAAAATTGCATCTGTTATGTTTATGTGTGCCTTCTTTATGAAAGTACAATAAAAAGTGGGGAGGGGGTGAGATATTGGTGAGCACGGTCATTCCACTCTATTCCTAACCCTTTTATACAAAAGCTTGAGACCTATAACACCAGTATTGCTTAGGGGAGATATCACCAAGCCCATTCTAGAGAGGAAGAACTTGAATTCAACAAGCTTGAATTATTTACCCAAAACTGAATCCCAGTTCTATTGGGATTTTTGACTGGGGGGGGGGGAATGTGTATCTTACTCTATTGCACAACCTGTTATATAATCTTCTCTGTTCTTTTAGTAATGAATTTGAGATTGTGGTAAAGATTCTTATGTCTAAAAGCAGAGAATCTCAATTTAGAGCCAGTGGGAAAGATTTAAGAGAAAGGATCAGTGGACCCTCCACCTAATTTGTATATAAAAATATGTGGGTGTATGAATTTTCTGGACAGAGAAGACAAGCTTTCATGAGATTCTCAAATGTATAATCAAGTGGACCCAATGAAAGTGAAGAGTTACAACAGCCGCAAAATTAGGCCAAGTTTTCTCAACCTTGATACCATTGGTATTTCAGACTAGATAATTCTTTGTTGTGGGGGCCATGCTGTGCATCATACAATATTTAGCAGCATCACTGGCTTCTACCCACTAATGCCAGTAGTGTGGGCGTGCACGTGTGCGTGCGCACACACACGCACACACACATATGCTTATGACAACAAAAACATCTCCAGACATTGCCACATGTCCCCTGGGGACACAATTGCCCTCTGTTGAGAAGCACCACAGCAGACGGTTACGTAATCTGATTGCTTGTTTTTCTAATTGATCGTTGCCTTGTTGTTTTGTTTCATTAAATAAGATCTGAAGTCTCAAACAAACCAAATATATCACTTTAAAAGGTTGGGTGGCATTTAAATAGTTGAAATAACTAAAGTCACACTAAACCAGCAAGCTTATTTTAAAATCTATGTCTGTTATTTTAATAATGGTATAATTATCCCCAATTTTGACTAGAATGAAACCTTACTATGGAGCGAGTGAGCGAGATGGACTGCATTTTCTCTGCCTTCCAACTTATGAATGATTCCACTTATAAGTCAAAAATAAGTAGAAAATGAGTATATTTGGTGGCTTTGTTCTCTTCATGGGGCTTTTAAGATAATTAGTTAAATAATTGAGTCTCTGATCCAGAAGGTAGGTAAAATATGCCTATAGAATTTATCAGTGAGTTAGATGGACTGCCAGGTGGGAAGCTTAATAAAATATGCCCGCATGTGATTATTCTGAAAGCCCCTCAACATTACAGAGTCCCTCTTCAGTACTAAACAACCAAGGAACTCACTATACCCTGTGGTCTAGGGACAGACATCTGATAAGATACCTGGACACAATACATAGATCAAGTATGATTCAGGCACCTGGGTGTCTCAGTCGTTTGAAAGTCCAACTCTTGATTTTTGGCTCAGGTCATGATCCCAGGGTCATGGAATCAAGCCTGCATCAGGCTGTGTGCTGAGTGTGGAGCCTGCTTAGGATTCTCTCTCTCTCTCTTTCTCTCTCTCTCTCTCTCTCTCTCTCTCGACCAAAAAAATTAAAAAAGTAAGATCCCAACTGATCTTTAAATCCAGGATCCTGGAATCCTGACCCCTTTTCTTTATATTCCACTTCTCAATGCAATTCTCTAAGCCTAGTACTAAACTCACTTGTATAATGCAGAATAAAAACAAGAATTATAATAACTATCATTTACTCTGTGCCAAATACCATGTCAGACATATCATCACTACAACCCCATGAAATGGGTTTTAGTATCTTTGTTTAGCAACGGAGTAACCAGAAACCAGGCAAAAAACAAAGGCAAGATACCAGCTCTTACCCAATCAGACTTTACAACCTGACCTTCCAATTCTAATAGCAATGCATTAACATTTACTGAGACCTACCCACATTGTTTCACATATTGTCTCATTTAAGCCTTATGAAATTAATATGCATGGTGATTTTCATTATCCCCATTTTGAAAAAAAAAAAAGGAAAAGAAAACCAAGATTGAGCAACTTGCACATGTCCACCTAAGCTATTTTTACTAGCAGAGGCAAGATGAAAACTCAGGTGGTCAAACACCTGAAAACGTGCATAACCACCACCATATGTACTCACCTGTATAGAACACAACCTACAGATATTTACAAGAGTGAGACAGAATCAGGTCTCTTAATATTGAACTGACTGGACAATTTAACTGTAAAAACAGAGGTACCCAGCCCTGGTTTTTACTAATAATGTTCTACTTCTGCATTGTGCTCTATCAGATTTCAGTATTTGTGTGGAAGACTTTTGTGAAATAGATCAAGTTGAGTGGGAAGAATGTTTCTTGTCTTAGATTGTTTTGGCCCTTCAGGTAGGTAGCACAGTCAATTTGAATGAAAACAGTCCTGAGAAATTGAATTAGAACAGTTGCTGTGTGTACTGGCTGAGTTTTCTTGGGTCAGACTAGCTCCTAAATCTCATGAGTACCCACCTTCCTCTCCCCACCCATTAGTGGAGCCATTAGTGTTTTTTCATTGATGGAACGTTTGGTAAATAAATGATGAAATAATTTTACAAAATAGAGGATGGGAAACAGGCCTATGTTTCCTATAAAACTGTTTCGACACAGCTGGCTTGTTCACTTGTAAGAGAGTCCTGAGGCCACTAAGCTGTGAAAGGAATAACTAATTAAGTAGCATGTATCTTTAAAAACAGTGAACAAATATGAATGAACATCAACTTTTGAGAAATTCTTACTTAGTTTCAAAGTCAGATGATACTTGAAAGATGGATTCAGAAGTTGCCTTGACAGTTGATTAATTGGCCAAAAATATTTTGAGCCCTCAGTGTCCTAAGGCAAAGCAGAAGGCTATTGTGTTTTAATTCTAATAACAGGCACCATGGAATATTGTTTTAAAATAAAATTTTAAAGCTAATTTAAAGCCTTCATTATCAATGATAGAATTTTCATTATTCTTTCTTTGTGGGTGGGTATCCCTTCAGGAAGTTTGATATCCCAGAGAAGGTTGTCTTTTGTGTTAGATGGTTTGGTGCGAGGGATAGAAACCAATCTCCAACTAGCTTAAGCCCAGGAGGGATATACTGACTTATGGCAGGGCATGATGAAACTGGCCTTAAGGGTTACTGCAGTCAGGCTCTCAACCACTTTCAGAACATGCTGTCTCTCTCTGTCTGGAATATCTGCTTCATTCACTCTCGATCAGTTTTACTGGTGGGGGACTCAGCCTCAGACACTCTGAATTTATATCATTACAGAGAAAGAAAGGGAGTTTCTCTATCCCAGCTTCAGTTGAAAAAATCCAAAGAGAGAATATTGGTTGGCCCATCTTGTGTCACATGCCTACCTCCTATCACTGTTGCCAGAGGGTGAGGTACCATCATTAACCTAGCCTGGAAAAGACACCATATTTGTGGCCAAAATGGGTGGGAACTGCTTCTAAAAGAAGGAGGCAATGGGTTCTGGCCAAACAAAATAATAGTTATTACATCCTCATCTATTTTTGGTGATAAAAGGAAAGTAATTTGGCATATGAGAAACAGATCCTTGATAATATGTATCACGAAAACAAGCAAAAAAGAAAGGAACAAAGAGGAACGAGAGATAACATTGTGCTTGAATGCAGTCAAGAGAATTTTATAAACATGTCAAGATGAAAGTCCAACATTTCAACAGCAGACACAGAAATGGGCCATTAGGCAACCTGATTCTATTGCCGACAAAAACACCCTCTATAACTGATAGGATATGCTGCAAGAGAATTAAGTACAGAAAGAGTGGTTCTCTGAGAGACTGGTTTGTGGTAGAATATCAGGCAGTGAGGTGGGGCCACAAGTATAAGAAGGTGGATGGTGGATATGTGGGCTGTCCTAGCTTTGCTTGCAAGTAATTACTTTCTTGAGCATTCCAACTCTCAAACTTAGGGAATTTACAACATTGCAGTAGTTCTTGAAATAGTTCGATCATCCCAAGTTCAATTTTGCTAAGAAGAAAGTGACCCAGGGAGGACACTGGCTCCCAGGAACAGAGCTGGATTCATAAAGAGACCCGAGCTTCATGTGACTCCCATGCCTAGTCTTAACTAGGTAGCACAGACAACAGTGGAAAGTGAGGGGCTTCCTTTCTATGCATGCCTTTTTTTTAAATGCTTTTGAGTTACTGATAAAATTCTGTGGACGTTGTTTCAATAGACCAAGTGTTCTCTTTCTTACTTGGACACAGCTGTCTACCTATATATCCCTTGTCAGAAGTGTTGAAAATGAACCTCCTTCAAAGGTTTCCATCAGTGTTGATATCATAGGAACACTCAATCATGTGGATTTTCTTTTTTTTCTCCCTCTGCTTCCACACCCTTCCAGATGATAGACATGATGTACTTTGTCATCATTATGCTGGTGGTACTGATGAGTTTTGGGGTCGCCAGGCAAGCCATTCTCTTTCCCAATGAAGAACCATCATGGAAATTGGCCAAGAACATCTTCTACATGCCCTATTGGATGATTTATGGGGAAGTGTTTGCGGACCAGATAGACCGTAAGCAAGTTTATGATTCTCATACACCAAAGTCAGGTATTGAACTTCAATTGGGTCTTGTCTTTTCTGAGTTCATTTGTTTGTTCTCAATAAATGGCTCAAGATAGAGGACCAATTCCTAGCTTGCTATCTTGGAGGTAAAAAACAATTATAGAAGGTGAATATACAATTTTAACAAAGTAGTCCTTGGGTGTTTTTTCTGGTATGTCATCACTGTGACACAGATTGACATCAGGTGTACCAAATTTAATGAAGAACCATTATAAAAATGGTTCCCCCTAAATTATTTGGGGATTGAAAATCCTAGGGCCATGTGTTGAACATTTCAATATTATTAATATATTAGGTCATTACTTCCCACCCCTACCCCAGCCCCCAGCCTGTAAAAACTAAATTCCTTGGATTTGACTTCAGAACAAATAAACAAGTCTCTATTTTGCCATCAGAATTCAAGAGGGCAAACATCTGCATGGTGTTTTCCTTGCAATGGAAACTATTCTCTAGCTCCTTTTCCCACTGTCTTAAATTATGTGCTATTGAGACTCAAAAGAAGCTAGTATTCATTGCCTGGAAGTATGGAAAATGCCTTAGGTTGTAAACTGAGTTGCTTGCTGTAAATGCCAGGGGTAAAAAAATAGTATCTATATCATGAAATGATTCAGTGTGAGGAGCAAGTGCCCGCAGGCTTTGATGTTTCATGCCCTAATAGAGGCTGATTCTCTATAATAAACACCCTCTTATATAGAGTTTGGAGATAGTTGTATCCTATGAATATGTTCCAGCATTTTATTTGGACCAAATGTCAGGGCACACCAGGCATTGGGACATTATTTGGGAAGAAGGCATCAGGAAAGAAGTATCTTTCAGTATGGAGGAACTGGATCCCTGGAGCACCTACTTCCCATTTTCCCTAAGGAGTTTGGCTCTAGAAATAACATCCCTCCAACACTGTCGAATTAACATTTTTGAAACATTTTTTGCTGACAAGCCAGCCATCTGAGTCCTGGACTGTGGACATGGATTAGGGTTACATAACCAGATAGTATAGTTTATTAAGAGCAGGAGCAGAGACTAGTCAGCATCCCCCTCCCACCCCCGCCAATCCCAGGTAGGGCTGAGACCAAGTAAATAAGGAGCAAGCAGCAAAGAGTCTGAGCCCTCTGGGCCCGTGTAGAGCATGTGTACATTGGCAACAGGATACATTAATATGTCATTTTCCCTCCTGTGATGGATTTTGAACAAATACCTTTCTTAAAATGAGTTATCTGAGGCCAGAAAGCTTTTGGGAACACCTCATTGGAACAAATATTCATTTCAGGAGACTTAGCCGAGCTCACTGAGGAAGAATTTTTAACTCCATCTCCTAGTTGGCAATGTGCAGCCTTCACCACGACAGCTTTCCAGGGTCTGGGGAAAACCCTTTCGGGATCCTCCTTTCAGCTGGTCCCTAAAGGCAAAACGACTCAAAGCCCATCGACGATCATTTTCCTCAGAGATTAAATGTATTATTCCCCCCCCCCAAAATTGCTTTCCACATATATTATTTTGCCTTCCTTAGTTTTCCTTTCTTCCCCAAAATGAGATTAAGCCCCCATGGGTGTTTTGACAATGCAACATTTTGGGATGGGAGAAGGAAGGAAGTGTGGGTATGTTTTATAAATGGGATTCTGTCTGTCCCTCTACAAGTGGCCATTTATTGATGTTGTACTATGAGCCCAACCTAGTGCAACAGACACCACCATCTGGCTGAATAAGAGGATTTATTATTGTTATTCTAAAAGAAGGGCTGATTGTAGTTTAGAACTGGAACACCCACCCCCCCACCCCAGAGATGGAAGAGAGGTGTTTTGTGTGAGTGAAGTATGAAAATAGATGTCCCTCGTTGTTCATTAGATCTGTGGTGCTCTAGATGTGTGAGAATCAATTTCTACCCCAAATCTCAATATCTAAGTTACCCAGCCTTGGATGGATGCAAACTTCATGACACCCTTCCCTGACTTACCTTCTTTTTTGACATTCCAAAATTGGCTGCAATGGTAGCCAACTGTTCTAAGCTAAATCAGCCAGTTTGCTGTTTAGAGTGCTAACGAGTATTTGTCCTTTCTCAAATGACCCCCAAATTGGCCATTCCATGTGGCCAAGGTCACAGAACATCCCTATTTTTAAAATAATTTGATTTTCATGTTATGGTACTGGACAAGCCCAAGGGGCATTGGGTGACTGCCCCACCTGGTCATTCGGAATTGCCCAGGAGACCTAAGAACCAAGCCATTTGAGAAAGGTACAAAACATTTACGCTGCCCTACGGTGTCTTGCCTCTTTTCTGTGCGGTGTCCAGGCTGGTTTGTGAAGCATGTGTTCAGGCTGATTGGATCTCATATCCACCTGGACCCATGGCCCTGCCCAGGGTCTGCCAGTCCCATCCTGCGAACGTGCCCCTGTGTGGGCCTCTCCCACGCTGCTCATTCACACACACACACCTTCTCAGAGCGACTCATGTCTAATGTGATGCACGTGTTCCATCTCTAACTCTGTTTTTAACTGCAAAACTGCTGAACCCATTTCATGTTTGGGGAAATGATCTTTCCTGGTATAATTGTATATGGATGTATAATGGGCCCCAAGGGGTGGGTTATTACTGTCTTTCTTATATCTCAGAAGGGAGGACAGCTTTAATGCCCTCACTTCCGGGAGGCAATGTTACTGAACTACAGATTTTTTACATGCATTCCTTTTATTTTTCTTATAGTTTATCCTAAGCCCAGAAACTTTCAATAAGGTGAAAACAGCTGAGATGAGACTTCTAAGGTTACTTTCCAAATGTGCTCAAAGACTAAAAGCAAAAGAAATAAGAAAGAATGGAGTCACTGTAAACTCACAAAATAATTTAGGTGGTTTTCGCCTCTAAACTAGGTTAGATTAACACAAATGACAGTCTGGCATTAATCTCGATTATCTGTAGAGGCTAAAATATTTGCTTTGTGTCAGGAACAGATGCAAATGCAAGATCGTGATTGGCAGCAGCAGATAGTGAAACAAACTGGGGAAGGGACAGTGATGGTCTGCTCTCTCTGGACGTTTTGCCCTGCACCCTGATGAACTGATAAGAATTGAACTCACTGTTGTTGGCTTGGTTTAGTTTGGGCTTGTGGTTATTTTTCAAACGACCCCAGATCATCTTAGCTGTTGACGTTATATATAGTACTAGCTCTGTAAGACCCAATGTATGGGCTACCATTCAGTGACTTGGGCCCCAGCTTGCTAAAAGTATTGCTACCAAATGATGACATCCTTATAAGTGTGTCATTAAGGTGACCCATGTTGCGTGGCATCTGAGAGCTGGTCAGGATCCCCCTGGAGCCTGACAGGGGGGAAAAGCCACTTAGAGAAAAGAAGCAACAGCACATTCATGCCAAGGCCAGGGCAAAGCTAAAATTAGGTGGACTCTCACCAGTTGCAATATCTGGTTCCATGGTGTGAAGTACCTAGAAATATACCTTTGTTGGCAGAGAAGATGGGGTGTCTCTAGCTTCCTTGAGCCTCTGGATGAATGAAATTTCCCTTTATTTACAAGGCATCCTTGTGTTGCCTGCCACACACACAGATTTCCCAGACTACCAGGGCAGGGGGGAAATGAATCATGCTCTTGAATGCATTAAATCAGGGTCTAAATTTAGCCCTTCTTTCTGCTGCTCTGAGTATTTTTATAAGTTTGGGTAGTAACGTGAAAGCAAAATGTCCAAAACTTACTTTTTACCGTAACAACTTAATATTATTTGGCTGTTCCTCTTGGCCTAAATTAACTATCCAATCTACTTAATGCATGGGGTCATTTTTTCTAAAACACTTCTTTGTATTACTTTTCTGTCTCAAATGATGTGTTCCTCACTTCCAGTGTGGAAAAATGCCTGCTTGTGGCAAATCTTAGAACAGCATGAACAGAGAACATGGCTATTGTTATGCATTTCGATCCTTGGACTCCAGTTTTGGAAACTCAGGGCTCTGCATCTGTTTGGTATTCAGGACTGACCTTCTCTAATGGATTCAGAGCACACTAATGCCTAACAGCTATAGCGTGGGGAGTGCTGCCTGACCAAAGAAAGTATTTCAGAAAAGAAAAACTTGAGCCAATGCCAACTTTTGGGAAAGGGGGAATTGTTTTGCTGGGTTTTGTTTTCGCAGATTGTTAAGGAAGCAAGCCAATCGGAGGCACCACCCCCCTTTCTCTGCCCCTGAAAGTCAGCTTACATTCTAGAGAATATCCACCCGACTTGTTTGCTAATGCAAACTGAGACTTAGTGAGTTTACAAACAGCAGACAGGCCTTTGTGATGATTCAGTACGCTATAGCGATCAACATTTGCTCCTCTATCATAATATTCATTTAGCCTTTGCCCACAGGTTGGGCCCCATTTTTAATCCATTCAATGGATATTTATTTTTGATCCTACTATGAGCTGGACACCAAGGTAAAGAGATGCACATGGCAGAGATATTGTCTTTAAGGAATTTACAGGCCAAGAAAGGCAAACTGACATTGACACTATGTATGTGGAGATGGAGTCCCAAAAGAAAAGTGGTCGGTTCTTCCTAGGGTGAGCGTGGGGGCCACAACAGATGAAGCCCTGCAAAGAATGGGAAGGTTGAACTGAGACCTGAAATGTGAGCAGATATTTGCTGGGCAGATGGGAGCAGGGGGCTGTGAAGGAGAAGAATGGCACTCGAAACTGAGACTCAGCGTGGACAGTTCCAGGCACAGCAGGTAGTTTAATATGGCTGACCGTAGGGTGAGAGGCAGGAGGCAAGAAGCAGAACAGATGGGTCTAAAGAGAGAGACAGTAGTATAGATCTTGGAGGACTTATACTCCATGTTCAGGGTGGTACCATGATCTGACATGTTTCAGTCAGAGCTCTCAAGCAAAAATATAAAGATGGGAGGTGAGAGCACACTAGCTAATACAGTAGCAGTTGGAATGGAGAAGATAGGCAGGATGAGACTTT